AAATGGACAGCATATATCAACTCATAACTAACAAGGTAAAAATTGAAAATTGAGTGCTGAATGAGTGAGAAAATTACATGGTGCAACAAAAAAGAAAAGCCATAAAGTTCAGTGTTCGAACAAGATTTTAATCATTAAGCCCCTATTTGGGGCACATTTTCAGTCCAAAACATGAGAATTGTGTAGTTGGAGAGCAAATTGTAGCCACCATACTTGACTTCATCTCACTCTTAGGTGAATCCCACATTTGAAAAAAAGGGTAAAATTTTCTCTACTTTCTTCTTTGAAAATGTGCCCCAGACATGGGCTAAATATTGTCGAAAAATTTGCAGTTTCAATTTCCAACATTTAAATCATGGGTTGTACTACTCGTATATGGAGTCTTACACTCCGGTTGGCACAGGCCTATCTCTCCTCTCACATGGGAAGGTACCCCACACATTTGGGTGTAAATCTCTATATACAAATAGATTAATTCTTAAATCATAGTAGATATGTCACATCATTTCAAAAATGTGCGATAAATGGCCTCTGGGCGAAAATCTATCAGTCGATCAAAACTCGAGCATTTGATCATAATATTATCATCTTTCCAAATTAAATAAAAAGGAACAACAAGAAGAAAACTTAAAAAGAAAAGAAATTTCTTTCAATCTTGCTCAACAACCCCAGATCTACCAGATCTACATGAGTTCGCAGAGTCGTCTGCACATTTCTCTTCTACACAGTCCTCATCTTGGGTGCCTCAAACCCAAACTTCTTGTTCATATATATATCATTCACCTTGGCCCTCATGACCTCAAAGTTTTTCCCCACACTCCGAAGTTTTGCGTGATAATCAAATACATGAGAACCCCTCTGGATGCTACTCCTGGACTTGTTCACAGCTGCCTGAGCAACAATTGCGTCCACAGTATCTTCAGCATTATAAAATACGTCTATGATTTGTTTCACCAATTCTTGAAGGGTGGCATCGTTGTTCCGCTTCTCGTTCGAGTCCTTGACGAAAGCTTTAAACAGACGCAAATCATAGCACATAAATTCCACCTGACTCTTCACATCGAGAGTCATACTAGCATTGGAAAGAAGCAACTGCTTCAAGCTTTCTAGGAGAATTTCGACCGTAGCATCGAACTGTTGAAATATGTCCGAATCCCTATTATTTACTACAGTATTAGAACTTGACCCGAAATTGAAACCTGGTGATGGTATGGAGTTGAAGCTGGGTTCCCTCGAGTCGTCTAATAAAGCAAATCGTTGCAAACTGGGTGATGACAACATGGAGTAGTCGACGCTGGATTCCCTCGACTCATCTAATAAAGCAGTTCGTCGCAATTCCTCCCTCTTAAACACAGCTTCCACCAGTCGTTCCCAGTTGTCATAGTTATGAGACATCTATGAATAAGCACAAATCTTGCAAACTGATAAGAAATCAGGCCTGCCCTTAAATTTCTTTACTGGGAATCTAATAATAGAATTGTACAAGGGTTTGTGGGACTTTCACCGAGTAAAAAGTCTTGGTCAACTAAGTAAATAGTGCCACTCAGAATTGAGAGTGTCGCGCCATCGCGTTTGTCTAAAGCTTGAAAAAGTCTTCTTACGCGTCACGTGATTACAAAATTAGAGGTTTAATTATGTGGAATTTGTGTTAGTTACAAAATTAAAGGTTTGTTATTTCAGCATCATTTTTTTTTTTTGCCTAAGGTCCCTGAATTATTTGAGGCGCCTCTAGAAAGGACTACCACCATTCTCCCCATATTAGTCACTAAAGGCGTCTGGAGAAGTACTACCACTGGTAACAAGTTCATGTAACGGAACGGAAGCCTAGAGAAAAGGGCATTGTAGAAAGCAGATATAGTGCCTTTGCTATCTCACTTAGTCATATATAGCATTTCTAACAAATAAGCATCCAAACTATGCCCCTGTTTGGTACAAATTAATATCTAGATTTTCATTTAATTCAAAGTCAACAATTAATTTTAATCACATATTTTATAGGTGCCATAATTTTTCAATCACATATTTTATTAATTTTTATCAAAATCTACTAAAAATCTGATTTTAATCACCATCAAACAATAGCTAGTATACATGTAAGAACACCGTTATGGTCAAATATAATTCTATTTTGCAAACCTCATAAGTTACCATGACACTGAACTTAGCTATAGTTGACAAAGGGGTGACATTGCAGATGTTACCATTAGCAGATGGAACATAAACAATGCGTGGTCCTCGATGTGAGAAAGACATTAATCTTTGAGGTTACATCCTGCAAAAGAAGTTAAGTATGTCACCAAACAAAAAGTTAAGTTATGCAGGGAGAGCGAAACTTGCGAGAGCCTTTCTTCAAGGTGTTGAAAGTTTTTAGTTTTCCATCTTACCTATTTCGCCCACGGTTGCATCAAAGATTATTTAGTCTATGCCGAAATTGTCTTTGGGGATCTAAAAAATCATTGGTTGCTTGGAGTAGCATTTGTTTTCCTAAACACGAAGGTGGACTTTGAGTTAGAGATATCAAATGTTGGAACTCAGTGCTTCTCATCAAAACTCTTTGGAACATTCATAGCAAGAAGGATTCTTCTTGGGTGAAGTGAGTGAGCCAGATTTTTCTTCATGGGAAAGACATTTGGAACTATGCGATAAGAAAAGACAACTCCCCGCTACTTAAAAGGTTGTTGAAAAATCAGGACCAGATTACACGGCCTGAACAAACCTTTTAGGCCGCAAGGGACAAGCTAGTGAATTGGAAGGTTTTGGAAAATCCAGCATAGCCACAGCTTATGATTTTTCAGATTGAAAGGACCGAAGGTAGTATGGGCAGCAACTGTTTGGAAAGCTGGCATCACACTGAAACATGCTTTTATCCTTTGGTTGGGAGCTAAATCTAAGCTCTTAATCAAGGACATATTACATCACATGGACATCGATCGAAATTGTGGATGTTCTATCCAAACCGTGCAATAACTTTTCTTTATATGTCCATTTAGCTGCTCTATTTGAGGACAATTTTGTGAATGGTTAGGCATTTGATGCTCTATGTCTATGATCTTAAGTACATTAAAATGATTTTAAAAAGAGGCTCGACGGATGACTTGGCACGACAAAGCTAAGCCTATTGCTCTTGCAAGCATAGTCGACTACATTTGGACTTACACCATTGTCAAAATCTCAAGTTGATGCCTCTGCTGGAGGATCAATCATAGGGAAATCAGTGCAACAGACCATGGACCTATTTGATTTAATTGCCACCACACATTCAATGTTCTCATCAGAAAGAGTGGTACCACCAAAGGCAGCAGGAATGTATGAATTAGATAGCACAACATCTACCAATGCACAGATAGCAGCTTTAACAAAACATGTAGAGTTACTTGTAAAATTGCAAACACATGAAGCAAATGCAATGATGGCCAGTTCAGTGTGTGAGAATTGTGGGAGAAATCACGCTACAGAGAGCTGCATGATGCTCACTTCTTCAGAGGAACAAGTAAACTTTATTCAAAATAACTCCCGTAATTTCAACTCATATGGTAACAATTTCCAGCAAGAAAGAAGACCAAGTTTGGGGGAGATGTTTCAACAATATGTGCAGAAGACAGACAAGATGTTCCAACAAATTGACACGAACTTTCAGAATCAGTAGGCATCCATCAAGAAACTGGAGACACAAATTGGTCAGATAGCACAAAAACTTGCAGAACGTCCACAAGGGACATGGCCAGGCAATACAATGATAAATCCTAAGGAACAGTTGATGAAAATTAAAGTAGTGGAGAACGATCCACCCAGGGCTCCCTTAAAAGTTAAAGCATATGTACCTCCACTTCCGTTTCCCCAAGACTTCGAAAGAAGTCGATGGAGCAAAATGTTCATGTCATAACTACAAAGAGCGAGGTACAAGAGTCAGAGATCACTACAGAGAGACCCAAAAGAAAAGATGACCAAGAAGTGATTGATGAAGCTACAAGGGTAGAAAAATCTGCACCAAATGCAACTGAAAATGGAGAAAGTACAGAAACATCAGCTGCCAAAGGACCAAGTCTAGACAAATCTTACATGCCTCCCATTCCCTTTCCTCAAAAGCTCAAGAAGAACAAATAAGACACAAACTATGAAAAATTTCACGATATTCTCAAGAAGCTCCAGATCAATGTTCCGTTCATAGATGCGATACTACAAATTCCAAGCTATAAGAAATTTTTGAAAGAGATGTTGACAAATAAAAGAAAGCTTCCGAAGTTTGAAACTGTGGCATTAACTGAGGAAAGTAGTGCAAGAGTCTAGGGAAAGTTGCCTCCTAAATTGAAGGATCCAGGGAGTTTTACTTTACCAGTTTTAATTGGAAATTCCTACTCAACTAATGCATTGTGTGACACTGGTGCTAGTATCAATCTAATGTCGTATTCTGCTTACAGGAAATTGGGACTAGGTGAAGTNNCATGCAATTAATCTAATATATGGATCTTATTACTAAATTATTTGTCCACTTATTTAGTGATTAATTGTACGTGTATTTATACTAATGGAATTTAATTTGATACTGAAACTTTTACGATCAATGGATTTGAAAAGTAACATTTTTGAAATTTATCAAATCTAGAATCCAATCGCATGAATTTAGTCTAATTTTAAGAAATTTATATTTTTCTTTCTTCACAATCTTGATCTTATGAATTAATGAATGAAACCCTTGATAGAGAATTATTAGGACTTTTGAGTATATGAGATATTTACGTACCGAATGTGAAAGAAGATTCCCTGATAAGGTCTACGAAAAATTGGTAAAGCAAAAGGACACATGGTAGTAGAGTTTTTAGTATAACTAGTAGGGTGAACGTAAAGACAATCATTTATAAATGTGAAAGATATATCGAAATTTATTGAAATTGACTTCTTATTTCTTTTCTTTCACATCTCATGTTAATGGATTATTCGATTGTTTAAGCCTATAAAAAATTGGCCCAAGGGACAGAGAATGCAATTTGATGGACCAAAACACTAAACATAAAAACAATTTATAAATAAAAACACTAAAGTCAGATTCTGCAAAGCAACATATGATAAAGGAAAATGCCTGTTGTACATGCCCCTCACATGCTAGGTGAGGGGGGTGGGGGATGGGTGATTATTAAAAAAATAAAAATAAAAAAAATTACCCCACCCCCCGTATTGTGTGTGGCTTGTACAGACAGCAGAACCGTATGATAAAAGAAATAAAATAGGCGGACCTACTTGGGTAAATTAGGATCGTCCATCTTATCTCCACCATTGTTTCCAACTTTATCTCCTTGATGCTTCACTACTTGAAGCTTATCATTCCACTTTTCCTTCCATTCCTACATTCCTTCCTTCCAGACAATGGTAACATGCCCATACACAGCCAAATCTTTGAACTGCCATATTAGTACTTACCTTTTATCCAATCCTAGAAAATTAATTAGGAACTCCTCTAGTAAATCTCAAAGAAATTACTAGTCATTGAGGAATAAGAAAATGGTATAGGATGGATTTGCTTTCCCCAACCCATGAATGGTGGAATAAGGAGAGCATGCTTGTCAATTGAGATCCTTCATCAAAAAATTTAACACGAAAAACAATGTTAACTTAACCTAAATAAATATAATTGATGAGTCCTCCATCAAAATTTTAACGCATAAAATAACAATAATGTGTTCAAAACAAGATAAAAAACAGTTAACCCTCAATCTACCATAAGTAAAGAGAGGAATTTCAGTGTTGATGACTGTCGTTCTCTCATTGCCATTGTAATCAAAACATTGTAGTCACAAGTAAAAAATCATGTGACCCAAAGTCTCACCTTAGTAGGAAAAAAACTCCCAAAAATTTTTATTTCTACCAGTTAGTTACAATGTTTTATATAGTGAAAATAAATTCCAAAAAAAAAAAATTTTAAATGGAAAAAATCAAGATAATGATTAAAATTGAGAGTCCTAATCTTAAGAATTATCTTCCAACAAACGGAATTCAAATTCGACTTAAATTAGTCGAGATATAACCGAACAAAATTTACCAAAAAGGAAAGGACGCATAAACCAAGAAATTTGCCCAAAATTGGTCCTAAGTCAACTACAAAGCTGTTGAGTTAAGTTCATTGACACGTTTCTAATCAAATTTGACTAAAATTTCACCAAAAACTGACAATCCTAAAATATCTCCAAAAATCAGGAAGTTATGAAAAAAGGCAGGAGAAGAAATGAGAGCTGCAAGTTTTAGGATTAAGGTGTAGAGGAAGTCTTAGGAAGGGGGAAAAATTGGAGATGTGTGGAGACTACGTAGCACGCTTGAAGACAGTGCTGCACGGAGCTACCGTGACGTCTCCGCGCAACGCAGGGTTACTACGTCTCCGCTTTGCACAGAGACCTCATCTTTGGTGGCTGTAGTTCATCTTTGGTGGTGAAGGTGGTTTGGGTGCCGATTCCTCATCTTTGGTGGCTGTTACTCTCCTAACAGGTGGTGAACTTGGACTGCGTGCTGATGCCACATCCTACAAAACATGGTCCAAACAAATTTGCAGAATACGATTGAAATAATTCATGCGGAATTATGCGAGGAAATGTATTATTATACATGTGATGATCAAAATAGGGAAACCTTTATACAATTTCCCATATAATCACAAAAGGATAATAAAAGAGTCATCTGCTTAGCCAATTTGCAATGCCCATTCTACATTATAAAACCAAGAAAACAACGATTATTTCCCTCAATAAAGGTAAATCTAGTAGAGGGTGATAGAGAACAAACCCAGAAGAGCAAATGAAGAAAGGCAGTGTAGAAAGGCACAGAAACGACAAAAGATAGCCCAGAAAATAACGAATCCAAATATCTATGCTCGTATCTCTGCAGGACCCAACAAAGTTAAATCAAGATCATTCCAAAAACCCCATAAAAATCCAATCTTTCAATACATATTCTTCAGATTAACAAAGCCCTCAAATACAAACCTGGATCTTAAGAGCAATGGAAGTACCAGACATTACATAGTGAGAGACCCATGGCTATGTAAGTGATCTGAGTTTCTGGCTCACATTGAGAATTGAAGAAAACACAATCCATATTTCGCCTAGAAAAATTACTTGCCAGCTCGGTATGCTTTCCATTCCAAATTCTTGTTCTTTATTAATTTTCTTTTATTTTCCCTCTCTGTTTCTCTAATCTTGTGTCTCTAAGAAAGACAGACGTTGAAAGTAATCGCGTAATTTACATAGGAGTGACTGATGAAATCAGAACAATAATATGTGTAATTTTGCCTTCTCCGCAATGCGCGGAGTACTACCCCAAGCATCCACTTTCCCCACCACATATATGCACTTCTCTCTCACCCATATTCAAATCCAACTAAATTAAATTATTCAAATTTCGTTTCATTTTAGACGACAAAAAAAAAAAA